CTAGCCTAAAGTTGCTTTCAATCATTTTCTCTGGCTGATCCCCAAATAGAAGCAGCCTTTGGAAACCTAAGAATAAGCTTTGGGAGAGGCAGCATAACACCTGGACTGTGGAACCAGTCTGCCAGGTCTCAAATCCTGCCTTAACTACTGTGTGACCTTGGGCGAGTTGCCTAACCTCTCTGTGCATAGTGTTCCTCATCTTTAAAAGGAATGTATAGCAATATTCATCTCACAGGGCTGTTATGAAGTTTATATGGGTTACTATTTGCCAAGAACTTAGAACAGTTGGGGGACCCATAGGAGCACTACACCAGAATTGGGTAAACATGCAAACCTTCTAATCTCCTGGTGCCTTGGCTGTCTTCACGAGTAAAGCAACTTTTAGAAACTTCTATCTTCCAGGTGTGCCTCGAGAAGGAATCAGCTGGGTGCTCAGCTGATTGAAGGGGTGACTACTAGCTTTGTAGGAAAAATGAACTACTGTTGGGGCCACCAAGCTCTACAGAGTAAAGACACTAAGTAAATGAAAGCAACTGTGTTGCTGTAATGCTTAGACAAAGGTTGTGAATGAAACCACCAGGCCAAAGAAAAGCAGACTGTCCTGATGGCAGATGCAGGTGGTGGCGGGAGTGGCAGCTCAGTGGCCTTTGTACTACAGCTTGTAGCTTCTTTGTGTGTAAGTTCTATGCTCACAAAAATCCACGAGGCCATGCCAGGTGTCCAGCTGCCTGGTGGTGGCTGTGTAGCTCTACCTGCTGAAGAAAAGAAAGGAGGAAAGTGGGGACCTACCGCGGAAACTCCCGTGGGGCTGTAGTGAGCAGCCCAACCTCCCTGCCTGTAGCACCAGCCACAAAAAGTGTCCCGACCAAAATCCACAGGAAAATGCCAGACAAGAAGAAGCCAGTAGCTTCAAAGGCCATGGACCTTGGCATGGGTGGCCTTGACCCTGACCATCCTTCCAAGCCACCAAAGGAAACCAAAGCTCCAGAATGGACACTTGCCTGCAGTCTGCACAGAGTCCACTGCTGTCACCTGGCCCCACTGGGCAGGCGGGTGGCCCCACGGCCCTGCCTCTAAAACACCGGACCTGTCATTGAGCCACCAAAGGAAGTGGAGGGGAGTCAGCAACACCGGGCGGCTGTCCACATCTGAGAAAATGAGGACAGGTGGTGACGTGGGGGGCCCTGGACACTGACCTTGGCCAGGGAAAAGCCAGCGAGGCCCCTGGAAGGAGGGGTGAAAAGCCAGGGGGCAGCCCCTCCCCTGCAGGACTGTCAGGCTGGGTGATGAACACATGGCCCCTGAAGCGAGGGGTGGCATGTCATCAGGTCACAGAAAGGCAAGAGATGAGGAGTGTGGACAAGGAGAGCTCTGAAGACAAGACCAGCTCACTGGACAGTGATGAGGACTGGATGCCACCATGAAGGACTTGTTACGATTCACATGAAGGCTCAAGAAGCAGTGCAGGGACCCCAGCGCTGTGTGCAGGAAAAAGGTCAGGTTCAGCACCACTGAGATGCAGGCCCTGGGTCAGCGCAGCAGGGTGGCTGCGAGGGAGGCTGGAAGGAGAGAAGTCTACCCTTGTCGAAAAGCTGCCTGTCAAACTCCAAAAGGGACGGCAGGGAGGACTCTGAGGAAACCTTCCAGTGTCTTCTGCAGCCAGACAGAGAGAGCAAAGCCTGGCAGGACTGGGCCCGCGGACACACCCCTGGTCCTCCTGTCACAGCGGAGAGCCTGCAAAGGGTGTGCGCGCTCCAGCGAGGCAGAGAGCAGCCACCTTCACGGCTCAGCCAGCAGGCCCAGCTCTCGGTCTGATGAGGGCGGTTCTGTGGACAGAGACGACAGCCTTCAGCCTGAGTCTGTGAGCAGTTCGGAAATTCAAGGAGGGGCTGGTGTGCAGCCTCGGGCTTGGCTCTTCAGTCCGGCATGTGCAGGTGGAACCGGAGGGGCAGGGGCGTCCCTCAGCGGTGTAAGGACAAGGGGCAGACGTGCCGTCCCCCTGCTCAGAGGTCCAGAGGCCTGCTGGCACCACCCAGGAGCCCCAGTGGGACTGTGTCTGCCAGAGGGGCACCCACAGGTAGGAGAAATCTTTATCTTCACAAAGACCAGAGACCCGGAGTGGCCGGGCCTGCCACTGGGGACAGTGCTTTCAGTCAGCTGTCCAAACATGTGGCAGCGGGTGAGGGGGCAGGAAGCCCCAGTGGGACCTTGCCCATGACCTCCTGGAGCCAGAGCACTCTGACTCAGAGCCCGGAAGCAGACGGGGGGGGGGGGGGGGGAGGGCCCCAGGCCGGCCTCCCCCCGGTGGGGTGACTTGGTTCACCAGAGTTGGCTGCGCAGCAAGTAGACACTGAGCTCAGAAAGCAGGGACTTCCACGGAATGGGGTCCTGGGGAGCGAGAAGGAGTGGGGGCCAGAGGGCCAGGACCAAGGGTGCGCCGCCCTTGCCATGGACCCCGACAAGAGCCTGGCGTTCACGGGCTTCTCCCCGCTGCTCTCCACGCAGTTATTCCACTTTGGGAGTAGTGTCTCCTGGGGGACCAAGCCAGCCGGCCTCTTCAGCCCTGGCCCGAGCCTGCCTTTGCAGGGTGCGTCCTTCTCGGGCTTTAGAGAGGCCCTGGCTGGCCATGGCCCTGTGTTTGGAAGCTCACACTTGCTCGTGAAGTAGGAAGCAGGGCACTGGCCCAGGAGGAAGTCTCCAGCAGCATTCAGCTTTCACAACAGTAGGAACTTGGTTGAGGAGGACATTTTGGACCTGAGGTCTAGACGGAGGGTGGATAGAGAGGACAAGGACCGGGAGGCCTGGGGCAGTGATGCCAGTGAACTGAGTGACACCTCCATGGAGGATGGCAGCCCCGTGGCCCCTGGCAAAGTCCTCAAGCTGTGAACCGAGTCCAAGCACCAGCATGTCTGTGGGTAGCGCGTGTGTGGGGGTGAACCTGTACGTGTGCAGAGGAGGGCAAGACCCGCTGTGACCTCCCTGTACATATGTACAGTAATGGGAAGTGATGCCCCTATTTGGCATGTGTATCCTAGTAAACATGAGTTTTATAGCTTTTTTTTTTGTAAATTATTTAAAGTGCTGTAAAAAATATTTTTGGAAAACATACCTGTTTGATTTTGTAGGGTGCCCCTGACTGCAGTTTCTGTGGCCTCCATAGTGCTCCCTTAGTTCTGCTCTGTATGACCTGGCATAGGTCACTCAGACACTGACACTTTGGGGTGATTGCTGTGGAAATAGCAGGCTGTGCCTGAGGGGGCAGCAGTGACACCCCCAGAGCGTCCCAAGGCCCTGAGGTCTCTGTCCACAGGCTCCTGGACATCCCTTGCTACAACGGATCCCAGGGCAACAGGCCCTGAACATGGTCACAGCCTTGGACTGGAAAAATATGAAAGCACAAATGACCGCTCCCTGGTGTGTGCAGATGTCCCAGGCAGGAGTTCGTGCCTGTCACCCCACTGTCCCCAGACCTGTATTGTCTCATGTCCAGTCCTGTTCATTGACGATATGGTTCTAACCTGTCAGTACATGGGGGAAAATCCACCGGGCTTCGTCAGCTGCCTCTATAACTGGCCAACAAACCCCGCCAATCTTCAGAGACCTGGCAAGCGCTGTGGAACTAAACTTGGAACTGATCGAACACAAGGCAGAGAGCGTCACGGGCTTTACCAAATAACTATCATAGGTTCTTCTGTGAAGCAGTTTCTCATCATTTAAAAACTAACGTCTTCTCTGTTATTATAAAAGAAACGGGTAAGGCCTGCTGGAGTGTGGTCGGTACGGCAATAATATGGGTGTCATAATTTATGGTTTCAATTTGAACACTTCACCGAAAATGTTACATGGTGTGCTTGGGTGTGATATTGTTATGTTACGGAATGACATGCTTATGATTTTGTCATTAAAAAGGAGTGTTATTTGTCCCAGACCCTGTTCTTTGGCTTTCCAGGGGTGTCCAACCTTGGCATCTCTGGGCCACACTTGAAGGAGGAGAGTTGCCTTGGGCCACACATGAAATACATTGTGACACGTAATTACAAAAAAAAAATCTCACCATGTTTTAAATAAATTTACAATTTTGTGTTGGGCTGCGTTCATAGCCCCCCCTCCCCCGGACCACATATGGCCCATGGGCTGCAGGTTGGACACCCCTGCAAGTGAATCCTGGTCATTTCTGGGGAGGGGGAGGCTGCAAACCTTGGAACCTTCAGCTGAGCAGGGTGTGGAGGGGCACGTGGGAGCACGAGGGAAAGAATACCAGCCGCGCGTATCTGCTCACACCTAGAAAACTAAGGAAAGATTGGGGTCACATCACATACCAGTATTTTTTTGGTCCCGTCTGCTGTGTCTCCTAGCGTTTTGCCTCTGTTTGCAGCAAGGTCTCGGCCTGTACTCGTCACCTCTGCTTTCCTGAAAACGATGTGTCTCCAACACAGCCTGTAGGCCTCACACGCTGGGCTAGTCGGTGCCACACCCCGCCCCCCAAAACGTTACCCAGACTCTGGGCGGAGCTGACTTACGTTTTCCAAGAATTCCGGGGGGGGGGGGTGTTGCAGCGGCTTGTTTGAGGACCAGATCAATGTGCACCTTCAATCCTTGGGTAATATTTATCAGTCTCACCTTATGAAACCATGAGATTTTGCTCCGTTTCCAAGGTGGCCGGATTTTAAGGAATTCTGTGGTTTTCTAAGGCAACAGAGCACAGAGCAGGACTGCCTCATGGAAAGTGTCCCCGTGAATGAGGGGAGGGGTGGAGTCGCTCACCCGTGATTACTCTCCACTGAGCAGCATGGCTCGCCTGGCCACACTTCTGCAAAATGAGCTGGCGAGCCTTTACTAAATGGTCCAGCCATTTCTTCCTCTTGGCAGCTTCAGGACCTCTGCTGTAAAGGCATGAAGTCTTTCGGCAGCCTAAGTCTGCGTCTTTTCAGAGAAAAGCACTAGAGTCTGGCTAGAGCACTTTTGTATGTGTCATTCCTCTTGGACTCGTTCCTGGCAATTATGTTGAAAACAAAACTCCTCCCGAGCTTATTTCTGCAGGGTGTTCAGAGGACAGTACAATATAAGCTTAGTATCTGGCATGGTTGGTTGTCTGGGTTTTGTGTGTGTTAAACCTGGTCTTTTTATGGACACGGTATTTTAAAAAATCCTCCTGAGCTTTCTCAAAACCAAGTAAATCAGAGAAAGAAAAAGGAAGTGCAGGGAAGAAAGGAAGGTCACTAGGAAAACAGGAAGAGAGCGAGAGAGAAGTGGGGGAACCTCAGTTGGGAGGATTGGCTGGAAGGGGACAAAGTGATTTCTCTGGAGAGAAGAATATTGAAAGTGGGAGAAGTGAGAGGAATTGAAAAAACCACAAAAGGAGAACCAAGATTTTCCTTCCCCAAGAGGACTGGCAGCACCTCTCAGACTTAGTGGGATCCCCCCAGCCAGCCCCAGTGGTGTTTCCTCACCCATTCCTCTTGAACACCACCAGGGTTGCATGTGGCAGAAGCGATGATCTGTCACCGCTGAGACTGGGTTGTAAAGGCACAGTGGTTTTGTCTCTCTCATCCCTGGCCCTGGGAGAAGGCTGCTGCTGCATCCGAGCAGCCCTTCGTAGTGGCCAGCCTGGTGCCCACAGCCAGCAGAGGGTGGGAATGGCTCCTTCAGTCTCAGGCAGGCCTTCAAATGACTGCAACCTGTTCCACATCTGCACTGCAATCTCCCAAGAGACTCTGTGTCCACAACGCCCAGCTCAGCGGCTTCTGAACTCTTGACCCACAGGAACTGTGAGAAATAAAGGTTTGCTGTGTTAAGCCACTAAGTTTCATATCGAAACAAGACATAGCTGATACAGTGAGAAAAGCCCGGAAACACGGCTCTTCACTGTAAATGGCTTACATAAGTTTGCAAAAATTGATACCAAAAACAACTGGGAGATTTCATCAAAAGGTATTCTGACTTCTTTGGAAAGACTCAGGAGACAAAGATTTCCATAGTCTACGGCTGTTCAAAAAGGAAACGATGTAAAATTAGACAGGGGTGAAAAAAAAAATCCCAGTTGTGTGTGAAATTAAAATCTAAGGAGTGGGTACTTCAGTGGTTCTCAAAGTGCATCCCCAGACAGGAAGCATCAATGTACACTGAAAAAAGTATTAGAAATGCAAATTCCCAGACTCTGCCCCACAAAATAAATTCAGATAAAACATCCATTTCTTATGTTATATTGCTACTTTGTGGAATGTTCATGTAACTGCAGTTCTGACTTTTTTATTTCTTGTGTTAGAGTGCCATCTGGTGTAATTTTTGTGTAATTGCAGAATGCATTATTTATTGTCTTTTTAAAAAAAATGTTAACAGTGTTACCTGTTGAATTCATCACATAATTACAGAGATTTTATTCTATTAATGAGTTTGAGTGCCACCAGGTAGAATTTTCATGTAACTGCATACAGACATGCTTTTCTTATTACTGGGTTGGCCAAAAACTTCATTTACTTTTTTCTGTATGATGGCTCTAGTAGTGCTTGTCTTTAACCTCATTCGAAACAATTTGTTAAACTGTATTGTGAACGCTGTCATATCAGCGTGCATTTTTAAAAAACAGAAACATTTGTGAACTTTTGTGCAGCCAATTAAATATTGAAGATGGAAGAAGATATACAACATTTTTGGCATATTATGCTTTATTATTTGAAGAAAGGTAAAAGTGCAACTGAAACACGCAAAAAAAATTGTGCAGTGTATGGAGAAGGTACTGTGATTGATTGAACATTTCAAAAGTGGTTTGCAAAGTTTCTTTGTACTATTGACATTTAGGCCAAATAATTTTTCTCTGTGGGGCTGTTTCATGCATTGGAAGATATTTAGCAGCACCCCTGCCCTGTACCTACTAGAAATCAATAGTGGGAGATAGCCAACATACTCAAAATATTCAAATCAATAAAGTTATTGGTGAAAATGAAAAACGTGTCTTTTATTTTGTGGAAAAAAGTAAATGGACTTTTTGGCCAACCCAGTACTTTGCTTGGAATGCCACCCACTGGAATTTTCCTGCAATTGCAGATCAGAGAAGTTTTTCCTGTGTCTGAGGTTAGAGTGCCACCTGGTGTAATTGTCATGTAATTCCAAATCAGATACTATGTTTTTCTTGTTACAGGGTCTCTCTCTCTCTCAGTATTCACATGCACACACACACGCGCGCGCGCACACACACACACACACACACACTTGACCCTTGAACAACGAGGGGGTTAAAGGTGCCAACTCCCACACAGCTGAAAATCTAAGTAAAACTTTTCACTCTCCTGAAACTTAACTACTGATAGCCTACTGTTGACCCGAAGCCTTACCAATGATGGCTTGACGCAAAACAAAATCTGATTGCTATTTTTACTTTGCACCTTTTTACATAAAAGAGAATCTTTGGATTTCTATTGGTGAGCAAAAATGGGTACCAATGTAGGCCTTTTGTAAAACTGAAGAAGCTTAACACAAACTCTCAAAAAATTGGGGAATAACTGTAAGAGAAAAAACCCCAGCTGATTTGGAATTAAACAAAAATTGTATTGGGTGGCACTCTAACCTGAAAAACAGGGCAAACTTCTCTGATCTGTAATTGCAGGAAAATTCACACTGGGTGGCATTCTGATCAGAAAAATAAAAACATCTTTAAGCAATTGCATGAAAATTCTACCTGGTGGCAAACTGATTAATGGGGGAGAAATCCTATGCAATTTCGTGACAAATACGCTAGAGGGCAACGTAACAACAAAGAAAATAAATAAATAATACAATCTACAATTGCACAGATGTTCCACACGATGGCACTCTAACACAAAAAAATAGAAAAACACCACACTTGCAACTACACAGAATTTCCACACGATGGCACTCTAACATAAGAAATGCAGAAGTGATGCTAGTGTTATGTGAAAATGTCATTAGATGGCACTCTAACATAAGGAAAAAATTTGAGCTTTGGGGGATGGAAATTTCTTCGACATTTATCCAAGAAAGGTATTATTACTAAATACATGGTGATAAACTTATAGAATTTTTTTACTTAGTAAATTAAAGTGTAAATTAGAATTTAGTGCATATATTTTCAGTGCTTTAGACAGATTTTAATTTTATTTTTTCATTTTGATGACTTGCTTGTACTTACCATGAGCAGGTCCTCTAGGGCTTATACCAAATATCTAACTTTTCTATTTCCCCAGACTCTACCACAATAGCTAATGTACAATGAGAATTCAATAAATATTTATTAAATAAGTAAAAGAAAGAATGCATAAAAATGTGAGAGTCCAGAGAAGATCAAATAAATGGAGAGAAGGCAACATGAATACAAAAGTCTAGAGTCTGAGCTCTATTCTCATGGCTTCTGTATCCTGCGATTGGACAGTAGTGCAAAATGTAAAGAAAAATGTGACTGATAGGAAATAATAATGATTTTCATTTAAATGCCTTCCAAGGTTGAGATTTTTTTAAGTTAGTAAATTAAAAGATTAAACAATGGCAACATTTCTTTAAAAGGATGAATATAGTGAGACCATTAGGTTTGGTTGCATTTCCAAAAGCAATTACAACTATTTCAGTCATTTAATTGTTCTGGAACTTGGTTTTCAAATTAAATGTGGGGTTTACTCACCTAGAGGAGCCTAGAAAAGCTATCTGTTTGAGCTCTCTCAGGATTCACCCCCTGAGGGAGCTCCCAGCTTTGCCCAAGGCTGGGCTGGACCAGCAGCCATGGGAGGAGGTGGTAAGAGCCTTCCAATTTGCAAACCAGACGTAGGAGGCCAAAGCTTGCCTCGGGAAATGGGAAATGTGGGAAGAAGCTGCACTTGCCTACTTGCCCTCTGCCTGACTCCTCCTGGTTTGAACAGGCTGCTTCCTCCTTCTCAGCTCCCCTGAGTCCACTGAGACCTGCCCACCTAGCAGTGGCTCACTAAGGGTGCCCTCAGTAATTCCTCAAGGCCATAAAGCTGTTTCTCAAGCAGAACTAATCTTCTGTCTCATCTGACTGCTCTGAACTTCATGGTCACACTGCTCCTCAGGGCTCAGTCCCCATCCATGCCTTCTGTTTCACCTTTTGGAAGGGAATTTGCATTTTTTCTTGAACTAAAAACCTAAAGTAGCACCCCTATATTGCAGTGCTATTTGCAATCACTAAGATAAGGCAGCAGCCCAAGTGTCCATCAGTAGATGAGTTGATGAAACAACTATGGTGTATTTAGACCGTGGAATCCTACTTGGACGTAAAAATAGAAGAAAATTTTACCCTTTGAAACAGTATGGATGGACCTGGAGAACATTATGCTCAGTGAAATAAGTGAGAGAATGACAAATACCATAAAATTTCGCTCATATGTGGAATCTAATGAACAAACTGAACTAACAAGGCACACAGAGAGATTCATAGGTGGAGAGCAGGCTGACAGCTAAGGGAAGAGGGTGGGAAGGGGAGGGATGGAGCAGAAAGGGAAAAGGACTCATGGATGTGGACAACAGTGTGGGCATTGTGTGGGAAGGGAGGGTGGAGGTGGAAAAGGATATAAGGGGGATAAATGGTAATGGGAAAAAACACAATAAAAATACATTTAAAAAAATCCCTAAAGTCAAAAGAAATCTCAAATGCCAGAGTTTCAGGCATCAGCCACTTAATAGGGATTTTCAGGCCGCTGGTGCTTTGCCCTGAAGCTGGCTTGGTGCTGCTTACACAGCTGGGAGCTCTGGGTGCCACTTGGCTTTCACTTGCAAGGAAATTACTAAATGCCCCACTTCCTGGCTGTTAGCCTATTTAGAAACAAAAATGGGTTTACAAGGCCCTGGCCTTCATGCTGTCTGTCATTAGTCACTGTTTCAGTCCCTAGAGCTTTGGCTTTAGGTGGCCCATGTGGTTTACCAAGCCCGGATCTGTACAGCTCACCACTCCTTGCCCATGGCTGGGTCGGCGTCCCAGTACTGCGGAGCCCATGCAGGCTTCCCACCCTTGTCCTGAATCCTCTTCCAAATGCCACCACTTGGCCTCTGCCCCTCCACCGTAGTTGGGCCACCACTGTGCCTCTCTCACCAGGGCTATTGCCTCCCTGCATCACCATTGCCATTTCTGATCCATTCCCACACAAGGTCAAGGGGATATGCCCAAAGCATAAA